AGAACTGAGCCACCAGCTCTCTCAAGTGATCGTTGTCAACTATACCTGTCACTGGAACTCCCCCCAACCGAAGGCCAAAGATAGCATTCACGTCTTGCATGGTGATGGTCATCTCGCCGCAAGGTAGGTGGAACATGTGGGTCTTAGGCCTCCACCTGAGAGGTTGCATTATGAAAATAGAACGACTGTCAGTTACCTCAATTTCGTTATCAGAATGTTTACGGAGAATGAAGGGACTCGCACCTGTCTACAGCTGCAGTGAGAAGTACGGGGTCAAGGGCCGAAAGACCGTAGTTGACAACGCTGGCAAGCTCGAGGAAGCCGACACGCCGTATGTACGGTGCGTAACGCTCGTCCCACTGGTGTGCCCTGTTGTGCATGCGTGGCCTCAATGGAGGCAAGGACACCTCTGCGTCGGTGTCGGTCAACACGTGAGCTCGGTGCTCGTCGTCGTACTCCACCTCAAGAAGGGGGTACAACGGATGTTGTGTGGGATGGGCCATCCTAGTTGAAATTGACAAACAAAGGGTTAGAATAAACACTATCAATAATACATTAAGTACCATTGAACAATTTCAACTACATGCTATGCAACATGGCAAAAAATATGACAGAACATGTACATATTGAAAGTAACATTAACAAACATATGAATCAACTTTACTAGGGAAAAACAAGTTCCATGTATGAACCTGCTGCCCTCGTCTTCTATGCGCCCTGTGACCAGGTTGTTTGCAAACGGAGCAAAGATTTCTACCACGGGTCTCGTTGAAGTCTCCCTCTCCATACATGTCCTCGTTGTATCCTCTCATGGCGCCCATGTCCCCCTTGATTCGCTTCTTCTTCCTCCTACCCTTCCCTACTTTCATTAGGTCCAGATTCGGCACGTAGTCATAACCATGATAATGTGCCCACTGTGTCGGGTTAAGGTATGGCTCGAAGCTCCTCTCCTAAATACTAAGGGTGTTCAAATGGAGGTACAAGGGTGACAAATATGGTAGACCCTCAAAGTCATATCCACGAACCCTGCAGGCCGTGATCATGTGAGAGCAAGGGGCATGCATGATCTGAGGGATGTTGCAACTGCACTCTACTTTGTCAAGATCAACTCAGTAGTTTTGTCCATCGTAACGTTCGCTGCCCAAGCTTGTGCCACCCTTCCCCCGTACACTAAAGACATGCCGGCGAGGTCCATATGGCTCGGCGATATGCTGCTTGGCCAATTCCTCGGCCTCCTTCAAATGTTTTGTTCCGGCCTTTCCAAATCGCCCATGTTCAGCTATATTCCACTATAACGAATCCAGATATGGACTGTTGTAATGAAGACACCAAAATGTCATTATTGTCATCAACGAGCCCCAATATACGACGGGCAAGGTAACGTGCAGTGAGCTGCTGATGATTTTCCTTCCTCTTATTTGATAGGCAAGTGTGGGGTTGGACCACTTATCCTCCACTTGCCATCACTCTGTCTCTTTCGTGCATTTAACCTCCACATACAACCATTTTTGCATATCACGTGGTACCTCAACACCTGGTTCGAATGAGTGACGGTGTACGGCCTATGGTGATACACAGCATAGTCCTGAAGAAACAGCTTCATCTCTGACTTTGTATTGAATATCATCCCCTTGCTAAGGATTTTATTTTCATGGTCATACAATGATTTCCTACACATCTACAGACCAGTGTCACAAACTGCCATCTCCGTCATGTTGACATCCCTATAGTTCGGAACGCCACTAAAAGGTACGTTCATCGACCTCAGTTGCATAAGCTCTGTCGCTGTGTAAGGTGGTGGTGGAACGTACTGCTGTGCTTCGCTAATTCTACCCCATGAATCATAGGGGGGGGGTACCATCCTCTAGCAAATCTGTGGGACGTTGCAACTGCACTCTACCGAGTTGATCTTGACAAACCATAGCGCGAATGGTCACTCTACTTTGCAACTACACTCTGCTCGACAAACCACAGAGGGAATGTTCAGCCGACGCTAAGAGGTTCACTCCAATCCACCTAAGGTGATGAGCTGGCCGCTGGCGGCAATGGCCGGCCGGCGGCGGGCTTCTTCTGCGCCCAAAGTTGGAGGAGGGTTAAGGACAGGGGGTGGCAGGGGAGAGAGGGAGGCCGCACCATAGGGAAGCGTCGACCGCACCGGTGACAGTGAGGGGCGGCGGCGCAGTGGGGACAGGGAGGGACTGAGAGAGGGAGACAAAGGAGAGAGGGGCCCAGGGGGAGGCGTGGTGGCGTGGGCTGGGCGGCGGCTGGGCAGCGCGGAGTGAAACAGAGAGGGAGGAAAGGGACTGGGCCGTGGACCTCTATTTCGCTCTGCCGCGCCCTGACGGGTGGCACGTCACGGCCGCGCCTAGATTGGTGGCGCGGCAAGGCCTACCACGTCAGTTAATTTAGAAAATAATTACATGCTCTGTATCATCATTAGCACTTAAATAAGTAGCCAAAAACTCAGTACTCCATACAGAACTTGGCTCTGAACATAGGTTTCAACATGACGTTCTTCAGTTTTTGGCCCTATTCGCTTGTCTTATGAGCCGTATAGTTTCAGTGAAGGAACAATGTTTTCTCATAACAAATCAGTAAACAGTACTTTCAGCTATGGCTTTGCAGCGAAGCGAACAGGGCTGAATAATGAGCCAACTCAAATAGAGCATCAGCACAGTGCAGTATTGTCCTCCTGAAGCCAACTCAAATAGGTTTCAACATAGTATTACTTCTGAAGCCAACTCAAATAGAGCATTAGACAAACTAACAAGTTTATTAAGGAGACACATCATGTGCCATCACAATACGTAATTAACATGTTCATCAAAATAAATGAGCTATGAATAAAATGTTGACCCAGTATTGTCCTCTTTTTTGGTGTTTGGCTGACTCCATCTCTAATTTCCCTCCACCATAACAGCATACCTCAGTGTTTGGGATACACATAAAAAAACAGAAACATATTTAGATCTTAGACTCTTTACAAAAAAAAATTGGAACTCTGTAGAAGTGGAACACCTAGTCATTTTCTAACACTACACCAGGTCATCTTCTAACTATGAAACTGTGTTAGCTCCTTTCAAGTTAAATCTTAGTATACATGTTCAGTAAAAATGATGTAATGCTAGAAGAAGAGGAGAAAACTAAGACAAGTAAACATACCTGTGAAATTTTTTTCTTTAGCCAAATTAGTCGAGTCAAACAGTTGGATTTTTGGTCATCATAAATATTTATCGATTCATCTCAGATTGAAAGAGTTCATTAGCATCTGCCTTATACACATTAGTTAGGTCTTCCATGCTTTCCACAATAGCAATGCACTTTTTTACAGAATATTCATCTTCTTTTTTCTTCTTCTCATCTAGTTTTTCCTGATTTTTCTCCATCTGGAACTTTCTAATCTCTATGAATTCGCTGAGTTTAGCTGCCACTTGACTTTGCTTGCGTTTTTTTCCACTACCACTTCCTTGCTCCTCTAGATTAAGATAGGATGGTGCAGATTGCACTTCTGGGCCCTCAATTTGAGAAAAAGGATTTGTACCAAAATTGATGCCAACAGAATCAGAGCTAGCCAGCAGCCGTGTTCTGTGTACTTTGCTCAGAGTGACTTCTTTCAATTGAAGGTCGTGCCATCATGTTAGGAGGCTCAGTTGATGTAAAATTCAAATCTTCAGTGACTATACTTCCTATTAATACACACCAGAAATACACTCTTAGGTATTAATCAAAGTTATTCAGGACCATAGGCACATGTTCATTTAAGAAACAGAGCAAACAAATGGTAAGGCCATCATGATAGACAAAACTGTGGTTCCCTGAACTCAGACCACCAAATAAGCATAGTTGTTCTTTTAGACAAAATTGTGCTGAAAAGATTTACAATACGGCTGGCTCAGAAGATTTACAATACAGCTAGCTCATGAAACAACCAGTCTAAAATGGACCAAAACTTCAGTCGAAAACAGCTAGTTACAGAACTGAGCAAACAAAGGAAAATTACCTGCATACAATGATGCCAGGTGTTTATAAAGAGGAAGTGGCTTCTTTTGGAACTTACTGACTTTGGGATTCTTCTATTAAATGCAACAAAACAACATTTTGGTTAGCTTCTTAAAATAGTGAAAACACAGTACTATATAATTGACAGAAAGTGACTAACCTCAATTAGGTCTTCCCATTTCTTTGGTTCGGCAATTATCATGCTTAATGTCTCATTCCAACCAACACCACTCTCTTTTCTGGCATCTCTAACTGTCATATAGTTTCCTTTCAACTCCTTATCATTCTCTTGCATTTGTTATTTTGTAAAATGAGCTAAAGGGAAGGTTTCATTGAACTGTTTAGCGATATTTCTCCAACCATCTGTTGTCTAGCCATTTTGTGCCCTGTACATTGGGACATTGACATGCTCTTTCATTATATCCACCAGCCATTTCTCATACGTGTAGCTCCATGCAGCCCTTGTACCCTGGGACGTTGAGATTGCTGAAAAATGGTGAAAGATAAATATAAGCTAAAAATCTAGAAATATAAATGTAAGGTAAAATGCTGAAAATGATGAACAATGCTCCAAATTACCATCTAATTATTATAGGCAGCCCACATGCCTTGCGCGATTTGATCTCGCAATGTGTTGCCATCACTCGATTCTATCTCACTTGGATAACTGTTATCCCCCTCCGGCATATCAACAAAAGTGGTTGGATTGATATATTGTGGTTGGTGATCTAGCCAACTATCTTGCCCATTGTGCCCTCTAATTATATTGTGAAATATCGCTGCTACTGCAGGAATCTTGATCTGAGTCTCAATTGGATAGTGTGTTCCCACTTTCAGAATTGGAAACCGTTTTTTCAACACCCCAAATGTCCTTTCAATATGATTCCGAAGTTGTGCATGACGATGATTAAACAACTCCTTATAGTTTTCATACTCATTTCTCTGCGATGATCCACGCCTTCTAAACTCACCAAGGTGGTACCTAACTCCTCGGTACGGTGCTATGATGGAGTGTTAGCATATCCGCCATCTACAAGGTAGAATTTCCCTGGCGGTACATGAAACCCCTTCGTAAGAGCAGAACGTAGGACTCCTGCATCAGACGCAGATCCTTCCCACCCACAAGAGATGAAAGTGAATTTGAGATCAAAGTCACAAGCAAACATAACATTCTGGAACAATGTCCCTTTTCTGTTTCTAAAAGGAGGGGCCTTATCTTCATTGATTGTAGTAGGGATATGTGTCCCATCAATGGCGCCAATGCGGTTCTGCACGTAAAAAGGAACTTAAGATTGTTGGAATAGTGTGTTTGGAATGATACAAGGGCAAGAAGCCTATATGACTAACCTGGAAGAACGGCATGAACTGAGGGTTTCATAAAATCTTGGCATGTGTTTGGTTTGGATTTGAAAGCTTAATGAATCTATGAGTCAATGTTGGAATTATATCAAACATGAACTGCCTAACATCCTCCTCCCAAGAACCCATTATCTATTATATAGGGATAATATTATTAAATAGGATATAATATAACTAAAAACAAGAATTATAATTGATGTGCCAAACATAAAAGAAGAGTTCTATGAACTGCAATACATAAAAGAAGAGTTCCCTGAACTGCCAAGCATAACAGAAGAGTTCTCTGAACTGCAATACAATTTTCAAGTAGATCGAAACCATATTTGCAAGAACCTATTACTCAGTCAACTCCTAAGGTTCAGGATCTAGGCTGATCTTACTCCAGTTAATTAAATGGGGCAAATATGTAAGGTCTTGGTTAGGTTAGTCCAACTCAGTAAGTATAGTAAGTTAGTAACCAAGATTTATTTTTCATATGTGTTTGTCACCTCCGATACAGAAGTTTATAGAAAAAAGAGAATACTGCTAATTCCAAAATGTAACAAGAAATGCATCTCTCTTCCACAGCAAATAGCTAATTGAGATGGATCCGGCATCTACTACATACTCCTAGTAGGAGTAGAAAACTGCATGCAATCTTCTATTTTAGCTCTCACTCATCTATTTAGAAACATATCTAGGTATCAAGATATATTTTGGGCAACTAAAGAATGTCACAATTTGTCTTTAAAAAAATACTTACTAGGCCTTTGCAACTCACCAAACATAATCTAACAATTAACTGTTTTGCTTTGTGCAACATCAAAATACAAATACAATCCTAAACAGTACATTTTTATACACTCAAGACTGGTGTATGAGTGCATTCACTACAAGAAATCCTTCTTTCTATGACAATAATCCTCATGACAGGAGAAATTATTGTCATATAATGTATCATAATATGACGCAAATGTCTGTAGCGTCATAAAATCAGGACTATCAGAACTATATATGACGATTCTTTTTCTTTTGTCACATAAAGGTACCAAGGATCGTCATAAAATGTAATTCTTAGGTAGCCGTCCGACAGTAGCGAATTTACGACGATATATAGAGTTTTTATGTGACGACAGTAGACCATCACTAAATGTTTTGTCAAATATGATGGCCCCAACGTCAATATACCCCAGTAGGAGCTGGAACTTGGTCTTGGCTCTGGGCCAGCCCAACGCAGGAGAGGGATAATGCGCGGGCGACGTTGGGCTCAGAACTAGGCCTAGGCCCAGGTGAAAAGGAAGAGGGGGCGCGGGTGGAGGGAGACAGGCCAGGCCTGAAAGAGTAAGACCAGAGAGACATTTTTTTCTTTTTTTTTTAATTTTTAAATCCATTTTGAGTTCAAATTCAAGAGCTTTAAATTGTTCAAATAAATTTAGATGAATTAATGACCAAGACCAAAGTTACAGATCTTGATGAGTTGTACAACTTTGTTGTTGCTCACTTTTTCATTTGAAACCATTTTACTATGTCAAAATTCTATTCGAATTTATCAAATTTTGAAACTCAAATTTAAAATTACCTAAACGAATTCGGATGAAGAAATGACCAAGACCAAAATTGTAGGTCTCAATGAGACTACAACTTTGTTGTTTATAACTTTTTCATTTAAAATCATTTACTCTCCTAAAATTTTGTTCGAAGTTCTTATATACTGAAGTTCTCACAAATCATATGAACGAGCGCATTTTTTCTTTTTAATCTATCTCTAAAACTTGTAACTAGTTCTTCTCCCTCATACTAACTTTAAATTCAATGATTTTTTTTCTAAAATTTTCTAAAATCATTTTCTATCAATAAGGTTTTATAAACTATATGAGACATGTGTAAGATTAGTGAACAATGTGTGCTAAGAATTTGTCAAATAAAGAAATGACAAAAATAAAAGTTGTAGATATTCATGAGATAAACAACTTTGGTATTCATCACTTTTTATGTTGAAATCAATTTGGGTCTTAAATTTTGGTTTGAACCTGTTGTTTTTCAACATTTCAAATTTGAAAGGTTCAAATTTTGTCAAATGACAAGATGACTAAAATAAAAGTTGTAGATATTAATGAGTTGAACAACTTTGGTATTCATCACTTTTACATCTGAAATCATTTAGGGTTTAAAAATTTGGTTTGAACTTGTCAAATTTCAAATTTTAAAATGTGTAAAACATTGTCACATCCAAGTTTGATCAAACTTAAATGCTGAAGCATGATTTTAGAAATTTTTAGGAAAAAAACCATCACATTTGGAGTTAGTACGAGGGAGAACAACTAGTTACAAAGTTTATCCACAGATTAAAAAGAGAAATCACACTGTTCTAGATGATCCTTACATGATCATAGTAAACAGTGTGATTTTTTTTAATCTGTGGGTCAATTTTGTAACTAGTTTTTCTTTCTCGTACTAACTCCAAATCTGATGATTTTTTTCCTAAAATTTTCTAAAATCATTATCTATCAATTTATTTTGTTGGTTTTGTCAATATATACATATGAAAAGTTTGAGCAATTTAAATTTTGAATTTCAAAAAAATGCAACTTCAGACAAGATTTTGGTACCCCAAATGATTTCAGCTGAAAAAGTGATAAATACCAAAGTTGAATAATTCATCAAGATCTACAACTTTTGTATTGGTCATTTCTTCATATGACAAAGTGGTAATGACATTGTTCACAAATGTGACACATCTCTCATAAGGTTTTATAAACTATATGAGACATGTGTAAGATTAGTGAATAATGTGTGCTAAGAATTTGTCAAATAAAGAAATGACCAAAATAAAAGTTGTAGATATTCATGAGTTGAACAACTTTGGTATTCATCACTTTTTATGTTGAAATCAATTTGGGTCTCAAATTTTGGTTTGAAATCGTTTTTCAAAATTTCAAATTTGAAAGGTTCAAATTTTGTCAAATGACAAGTTGACTAAAACAAAAGTTGTAGATATTAATGAGTTGAACAACTTTGATATTCATCACTTTTTTTGTTGAAATCATTTTGGGTCTCAAATTTTGGTTCGAACTTGTCATTTTTTAAAATTTCAAATTTGAAAGGTTCAAATTTTGTCAAATGACAAGATGACCAAAATAAAAGTTGTAGATCTTCATGACCTCTACAACTTTGATGTTTATCAAATTTTCATTTGAGATCATTTGGTGTCTCAAAATTATTTTAGTTGTTTTGATTTTAATTTTTTCAAATTTAATTTTTTTTCCTATTTTTAAAGGTTCAATTTTGTAATTTTAAACTGTTGTAGTTGTTTTAGTTATTGTATATGTAAATATATCTATAAAAAATTAATTATAAAATTTACGTAGCTGTTAACAATTTTGTACTCAACCAAAACTTTTTTTAGCACAAAGTTTATTAATATATGCTTAGTAGATCATCTTTTTCGGGATCTTAAAAAAAACAATAATGTCCTGACTGGATCCCGCTATGTAAAACTAGCATCCCTCAGGAGAAACCGTAGCTGGATCCCGCCCTCTCCCGACTGGACGCCACCCCTCTCTCCCGTCCTTACTCCTCTCTAGTGCCACGGCCTAGGCCAACTGAGGCGGCGACGTGGCCATGGCCGGCTGAGGCGGCGACACACGGAACAAGTGTCCCAGGGAGGCGTGGCGGCGGGGACTCAAGCAGAGGCACTGTCGACGCTGGAGAAGGGCCGCCTCACCTTGATTCGGCCAAGGGCGGCGCGGAGGAGGGCCGCCCGACCTCGCTTCGGCCAGCCTGTCCTCAATCCGTCCTCGATCCGTCCAAGGTCGACGCGTAGGATGCCGCCTGATCTTGATCTGGCCGAGGGCGGCGTGGAGGATGGCACAGAGGAGAGCCATCTGGGCTCGATCCGACCAACGTCGACGCGGAGGAGGGCCGCCTTGCCTCGATCTAGCGAAGGGCGGTGCGGGAGAGCCGTCTTCTTCGAGTGCATCGGCGGCGACTTGACAAGGTTGGCCTGTCCAGATCACGGCGGCGGCCTTGGGCGGGGCGTCCAGATCGTGTGCATCTATGCTCCATTCGGGTACCCCTACTCCTCCCCATTCGTCCTTTGGATGGTTTGCTCTATGTCCCGCAATCACGTGCTTGATCTGCCTCGTCAAACTACGCTGCAGGTGCGTGCCGCCCATGGCGTGCAGTGCTGCCAGGGGCTTGCGGATTAAGGTTTGCATCAATATCTTGCTAATTAGTTGGCAATTCGGCAGCAATATTTTCAGTGTAATACTTGTCTGCTACTGGAAGATAATTTTCTCTAGATTCTCAATACACAGTCTGCATGTGGGGTGGGAGTTGGACGACAGTTTTAATGGCATCACATAATTTTTTCCCATTCAATTTTGTTATGTGTTGTACTAGAGTAGTGGAGACACCACTTTGGAGAACATTCTTAGTTATTTGGCTTTTGCTGTTAGCACTTAGAATATGTAGTGTTGTGCAATTCAGGCATGGAGATATTAAGAACTCAGAATTCAATAACTGCAAATTATTCAAGATGGCAAATTAATAGCTGCAAATAATTCCTTCTGTGATTGCAGACAGTCAAGAGTGCCAAGGTGATTTTCCTGAAGCTGACGCCTCAGTCCAGGCCCTTTAAAGGCTCCAGCAACATCGCCTCCTATGTGATAGAATCTGTTGTTGCTGCTTTGAAAACTAACATTGCAGCAGGGCAGTGTTTATTTCTTTCACAAGGCTAATCATTGGATCAATATATTTTTTTGTAGATTGGACTTGTTAATCACTTGTAGCTTGCACGAACTGGATCTCTAATTGATTTGATTTCATTGCTTTAGGAAACTAGCCGCTGCTGTAAATACTAAAGATCACACTGGTTTTGTCGGACACTGTCCTGTCACCAGGTTTGCAAGCTAACACCGCACTACTAGTTACTACTTACCATCCTAGATCAAATTACCATATATATCAGGTTAATGAAGTAGTATGTCTTGCAATTTTGTCAGGAAATTCGCTGCAACGTTGGC